TGCAAACACAACATTACAGTATGCAGAACACAACACTTACAGTGATACAGAACACAACACTTACAGTGTACAGAACACAACCTTACATGATACAAAACAACACTTACAGTGATGCGAACACAAAAATTACAGGAGCAGAACCAACATTTCAGTGATGCGAAAAAAACACTTACATGATGCAGAACACAACATTACAGTGATGCAGAACACAACATTTACAGTGATGCAGAACAAAACACTTACAGTGATGCGAACACAAACTTCAGTGAACGAACAAACATTTACAGTGATAAAAGAACAAAACTTACGTTTAAAGAAAACAACACTTACGGGATGCAAAGAACACAACATTTACAGTGATCAGAAACAAACATTTACAGTGATGCGAACACAACACTTACAGTGATGCAGAACAAAACACTTCCCAGTGATGCAAAACAAAACACTTACAGGATGCAGAAACACAACATTTTACAGTGATGCAGAAAAAAACACTTACAGGATGCAGAACCAACATTTAAAGTTGCAGAACACAACATTACAGATCAGAACACAACACTTACATGATGCAGAACACAACACTTAAACAGTATGCAGAACACAACACTTACAGGGGTTGCAAAACACAACCTTTACTTGATGCGAACACAACATTTACAGTGATGCAAACAAAAACACTTCAGTGATGCAGAACACAACACTTACAGTGATGCAAACACAACACTTACAGTGATGCAGAACACAACACACAGGATGCAGAACACAACATTACAGTATCAGAACCAACACTTACAGGAGCAAACAACACTTACTGTTGCGAAAACAACACTTACAGTAGCAGAAAAAAACCTTACAGTGATGCGAACAAAACCCTTTTACAGTGTGCAGAAACAACACTTACAGTGATGCGAACACAACACTTACAGTGATGCGAACACAACACTTACATGATGCAGAACAAAAACACTTACAGGAATGCAAAACAACATTACAGTGAGCAGAACACAACAATTACAGGATCAGAACAAAAACATTTACAGTGATGCAGAACACAACACTTACGGGTTTTTCAGAACAAAAAACACTTACAGTAAGCAAACAAAACCTACAGTGATCAAACACAACATTCAGGATGCAAAAACACAAAACACTTACAGTGATGCAGAAAAAAACAACACTTACATGAGCAGAACACAACATTCGTGATGCAAACACAACACTTACAGGATGCAAAAACACAAACTTAAGTGATGCAGAACACAACACTTACAGTGATGCAGAACACAACATTACAGTGATGCAGAACACAACACTTACAGGTTACGAAACAACACTTCAGTATGCAGAAACAACACTTACAGTGATAAGAACACAACATTACAGTGATGCAGAACACAACATTTACAGTGTTACAGAAAAAAACATTTACAGGATGCAGAAACAAACTTACATGATCAGAACAAAACACTTACATGATGCAAAAACCAACACTTACGTGATACGAAACAACACTTCAGGATGCAAAACACAACACTTACAGGTTACAGAAACAACACTTAAGTGATCAGAACACAACACTTCAGTGTTACAGAACACAACACTTACAGTGATGCGAACACAACATTTCAGTGATGCAAACACAACACTTACAGTGATACAGAACACAACACTTACAGTGATACAAACACAAAAATTACATGATGCAGAACACAACATTTACAGTAAAATGCGAACACAACACTTACAGGATCAAACACTTACATGAGGGAACACAACACTTACATGATACGAACACAACATTACAGTGTCAGAACCAAACTTACATGATGCAGAACAAACACTTAAGTGTGCAGAACCAACACTTACGTGAGCAGAACACAACACTTACAGTGATACGAAAAACAACACTTACGGGATACAGAACACAACATTACAGTGAGCAGAACACAACACTTACATGAACAGAACACAACACTTACGGATGCAAACACAACACTTACAGTGATCAGAACACAACCTTACAGTGATACAGAACACAACACTTACATGTACAGAAAACAACACTTACAGTGAGCAGAACAAAACCTTACATGATGCAGAACACAACACTTACAGGTAAGAACACAACACTTACTGGCAGAACACAACACTTACAGTGAGCGAACCAACATTAAGGATACAGAACACAACATTTAAAACAGTGAACAAAAACACAACACTTACAGTATACAGAACAAAAACCTTACGTATCAGAACAAAACATTTACAGGATGCAGAAAAAAACACTTACAGTGAGCGAACACAACACTTACATGATGCAGAAACAACCTTACAGGAGCAGAAACAACACTTACATGAGCAGAACACAACATTTACAGTGATGCAGAAACAACACTTACAGTGATGCAGAACAAAAACACACAGGTTAAAAACACAACATTTTACATGATGAGAACACAACACTTACGGGAAACAGAACCAACACTACAGTGAGCAGAACAAACACATCAACATAAACACAATACCAGAATTTCGCAATAAATTTGATTGTGAAAAATTTAGAAAAAAATTATTTCTTGTTTGCAAAAAAATAATGGACTATTGTCGTGGAAATAAGAAAAATTTAGACATGGCTAAAGAAAAGAATATAACACAAAAAATTCAACACACGGGAACAAAACAAGAATACACAAAGCGGGGAAAAAAAAAATATATATATAACTAGACAACATGATTGTGAAGCGGGCACAGTTAAAAAAATTACTAATTACTATGAATCACTGAGGCACTAGGTGTTCGAAGTTAAAACACAAGCTATATGCTTAGTTAAGATAAGATAAAAAAAGATTGTTCGGATTTTTAACCCGGGGGGTTAGCCACCCAGGATAACCCAAGAAAGCAGTCGTCATCGAGGGCTGTCAACTTATTTCCTTGTGGTCCTTAATCTTGTCCCCCAGGGGGGGGCGACCCACCCCCCGACTAACCCCTACCTATTTTCTCTAGGTGAACAGGACAATAGGGGTAAGGGAAAAAGCGGAATTTTCCCCCCCCGGGAAACGAACCCCGGGGCCCCCCCGGGGGTGAAGCGGGAGCTTTAGCCCCCAACCACCGGGCCACCGGGGGCCCCACAACAAGGGAAAAAAACTATACTTTCTTTCAATGATAAAAAAAAACACAACACAAAGGGGCAAAATAACACAAAAATTAACACGAAAAGGAGATTACAAATTTAAAGCAATATTAAAAGAAAAACACGAAACTGACAGAACACGAAGTCACTAAAAAAATCACTGGAACACAAAAGAAATGTCTCAACACCCAAAATTCTCATGAAAAAAAATTTTTAATTTTCGTGAACGCTTGGTGTAGAAGAAGGAGATGGTAGTGGAGAGTAGAGATTGTTTATGTCGTCTTGCGCGTCCTCTGCACATGTGATCGTAGAAAAGCCTTTTCATCGACGACAAAACACCAGGGGGGCTTTCAACGGTGGCGCAAAACACATTCTAGCTCTTGACCCCCCATGTGGTCCTTAAAAAAATGGTCTACCAAAACCCCTTTTAGTGCGCCAAAACACAGTGAAGTGGGGGGTTTGGGGTAAACAGGGGTAAACCCGGGGGGGTGGGAGACACACGTGGTAAATGGGGTGGTTGGGCCCTTATGAATGGCATAAACCTCATGAGGACAGCCAAAAACTGCCCCGAAGATATTTTTAAGCTGGCTAGCTTTTAAAAACACCCCCGAAATACCAAAACACCACAAGGAGAAAAAAAGACTCAAATGGTTGGAGCTTAATCAAAAGCGATGAAACTACCACTGGCTTGCTTGATATGGGAAGACACCTGGGTTATTCAGCTGGGTTATTTAACCCTTCACACGAATAGCTTAAACTCACACGATAGCACAGCAGAGGTGGAACTGGCTTGGGAGGCAAAGGAACTGGATGGGGTAGCAGGCTAGACGGCCCCCACCACAGACTGGAAAAACGGCTTTTTTTGCAAAATCGGGGGCAACCCCTCGGGAGGTGCAAATAACAGATAAACACAAAAACAAAAAGACTGACCAGGAAGGTGTAAAGCTGGTAGGAGCTGGGCGGGGGAACTGGCTGAGAAGTGGCTGGGGTTAACCTTCTCGGTAGGCCTACTCACAAAAAAGGCAGGCTCGGTCGGGGAAATTTTTTTTCCCGAAATTGCTGTAATTGTCAGAATTACAGCCCCCGTTTCCACCATTTTTTTTCAGGCTTTTTAAATGGGGAATCGAGGTTGGTAGAAACCTTGTTGGATGGTAACATAAATGTCAACTGTGGATGGGAAATGGGGGCCCCCCCCTCCTGTCCAGCCTGGATGTCTAACGCCGACTGAGGGGGAGGGAAGGTACGAATACACATGCGCTCCCATGACGTCACACAAAGTCACAGGCCTAAAAGGGATCCCC